ATTCTTTGTGACGATAAGGGTATTAGAATTTGGAAGAGATGCAGAATCACTTTTTCCTTTTACATTCTTACATTTAACTGACGTGAATATTTTAGTTTCTGTGCACACTGATTATGGATCATGTGAAGTAATTATAACCTGCGATGAATAATTAGATTCAATTAAATAAATCCACTGAAATTATATTCCATAAACTCACTACTCCTATCCAAATCTCACAATCTGACTTTATTATAGATGTGCTAAAATATGAAGTGTACGTATAGAAACAGGAAATCATCTTAAATAAGTGTGGATAAACTGTTCGCTTGTTAATTCTTGAAAAAATTACAACACATTTCCGAATGATTATTCAGATGGAATAAGTTTTGATGGGTAGCATCTGAGAATTCTGAGATTTTATCCTCTTCGTGGGAAGTATACTTCACCTAAGGTTTATTGACTGTGAAGGTTTGCATAAGTTCCATCAGGTGTTAATTTTGTATGGCGCGAAATGTCAGAGTTCCAGGGCTTTTGTGTACGACGAATACTTGTGCATCCGTGTTGAATTTCAATTTCGTACAAAATTAATATAAGCATCAAATTTATGCACATCTATCTTATAAATATTAGTGTAGTGGGCGTTGCTGATAAGAATGGATATAAGTAGTATATATTGAGAGGGTGGCAGAAATCATGGGAAATTACCAGTAATCGGTAAGGATTCCGCGGGCTCCCTGTGCGCTGGGCTGTCGAACTCCACTTCCAGTCATTCAACCATTCTCTGTCGAGTCTTATTCCCCTCTTTGCGTTCGACGCCGTCATACGCTGCTTTCGCTCTACCCCTCAGCAACGTGCCAAGTTCCACCGTCTTCTATCCTGGATCCCGGACACCCACCAGCTCCGCGACCGACTCGAAGTCCATGAAAGAGACCTTGATGTCTCCATCCTCGAAATCTCTAGGACATGGAATCTTAATCACGTCCAGAAGCATTTGCACCAAATGAAAGCAGCAAAAGACAGAAATGTTTGTTGTCAACAAGTGGGACAGTAGTTATTAAAATATGGTACGCCTTGCACTAAAACCGCCATTTGCAAACTATGCTTCATTTCCTCTTCTGCTTCTTTCTTGATTCGCTCTTCATACGCCCGTCTTGTTTCTTGCGTTTCTCTTGCCGAAGTGCTTACTCACTGCTGGTAATTCCTTATGATGTCTGTCACATTATCAACATATACTACTTATATCCATTCTTATCAGCAACGCCCACTACATTAGTAATTCATTCTCGTTCACTAAGAAACTGATCTTCTGATTTCTGACTCGGTGACTGAATGGGTAAAGCATTCAACGTTAAACCTGAAAATTCTCAGTGCAATATACAGCTGAGTCGTGGCTGCGTACTCCTGAGGAGTAATCCAAGAGTACCTCCTAATCAAAATTCCCATTAACGTCAAAATATATTAATTACTCACCTATGGGTAATGTACTAATGAATGACTCTTTTATTTTAAGAAATATAGACTGTTGAAATGAAGCAATGACAAAATGCAAAACTAAGATTTCAAAACTGCAGAAAACTAAAAGCTTTAATGAAGATGGGGCGTTTTGTTATCTCAGAACTGTAGCAAGTAACTTAGTGACTCTGTCAGAACTTTATTCATTTCGAATTCAGCATCGAATAAATGGTGACATCTTGTATCAAGATAACCACTATCTAAAATCTTCCCATTTTCTAATTCACAAATAAGGTAACATTCCACTGCTAGCCACCAACCATTTTTACTACAATTAAAGAAGTTTACTGATAACATTTTTGTTAGCTAATATAGACAGGTTTAAAAATACCAGTTAGATAGCTTTCATATTAGCTAAGAGAAAAAGATGAAAGTAATATCATGCATGTCTGAGTTGTTGTGAAACGTGTGAGTAAAACCCATGAGTATATAAAAGAAGAACAAGTATTTCCCCAGAGTCTCTTTACGACTCCTCTTTATTTCCTTTGTTAAGTTATGTGAAATTTATCAGAACCGTAAGGGAAACATTTTTTTCGAAATACAACAAAGTTTATGAAGAAATTTTTAGTCACTTTGGTAGTATAAGATTTCTCTTTGAATTTGTTATTTCATATGGTATACAATGATATAGTGTTGTTTACTGGAAGACATTTTGAGAAAGAATATTGCACGTCATCACATCAAAGTAACTACACAAGTTTCGACGTCTGGTTTTTATAGTCCTTTATCTCATGATCTTTGCTTTCAATGCTAGTAGAATAACATTTCATTGAACTGTGTAAGCCAAATGTAGAACTTTTTTTAAATTACTTCATGTGATTATGAGAAGTAATTAGGGCCCAGAATGCCAACTACCAAGTAATACTATCCCACTGTATGCTATATCAAAGAGATAAACCTCTGACACCAGTTAGTCATACAACGTTCTAAAGCAGAGAGTTTCTTAATGAGAAGAGCTAACCGTGGTGAAATCATATTTCAAAGGATTTGAGCAGAACCTATTACTTCAACTGAACTCATAAGATCGTTTTGAGTTTTCATTAACTTACAAATTTTGCAGTGAATGTATAACTTCAATAATACAAGAAATTACTACAAACTTTACTGCGTTGGAACTGGAAACTGTTTCAATTAACTGAGGTTGAATGATTCGCTATGTGTACAGAGGTTTAAGTTTCGCATGTCATTGGACTTTGATATTAATTTTGGACGTCTAGTGGCAGTTTTCAGTGGGGTGAACCTGGAACCCGTGACTCATCAGCAGAACGTCATCGCTTCAAACTAATGAACCACAGCTCCACAAAGATGAAGTATATAATGTAGTCATCAAGTAAGCATACTAGTGACTTCATTGCACCTTCATTAGTTAGTATCATTAGGACGAGATTGTTTTTCTCTCTGACACACACACTCAATTAAAATAAATACTAACTTACAAATGCAGTGCTGTGTGATTATCTCGACGACATGATCTATAACATCCCTGATTACAATGTACGGACTCAATTTCTGTTGAAATGTGAATTGTCTGACAGGTAGGTTAAATGTGATATGAAAATGATGATTGATTGTAAATATTTTCAGTAGCGTTTAGACTCTACTAAAATCTTATTGCTTGACAAATTCCGATATTTTACATTGTTCAGTTTTGAGTTATACTACACGGTGTCTGAAAATGCAGAGTTTACTAAGCATATTTATTTCTCGATATGAATTTAAAAGCGATAGGGGAAGTGTAAACAGTACGAGTGAATTAATTTTCTTCTCATATATATATGAAATACTCTACATAGTTGATTACTTAAACAACGACGTTTACATATAGCAGGATGCAGGTAAGAAATATTAAAATGTTTAAGAGCATATGAAAATTAGATAAAGTGAAGCTGACCTATTTTATTACGAATATTTCAGTTGATATTAAAGCGAGAAGCTGAATGTCGAGTTACTGAGTTATATGGGTACGGGTGAATAGAGATGTAACACTTCCTAAATGAACATGAGAAGCTTGTTAGCAACACTAGAAATGAGTCACAGTGGTGATAGGGATTTGAAAGTGGTTTCGGAAAACTCATTTTATACTAAAAATGTGACCATAATAGATTTAAACGGACTGTTACTTTCCTAAACATAGGAAGGATTACGTTACGCTATCATGCCACGTAAACTCATCATCATATATTATTGCTTGATTTTTGTTATTGCCCGTTGCTACCTAGAGTCTAATTGCTTGACATCTGTTAGTAGATGGGATGCATTGAGGTGGTTCTCATACCCAGTGGCATAGTGGACAGTGTTTTGGCGTTTGGAATGCACTGGATTCGGGTATTAGAGTAAGTTCAGGTACATCCAGCCGACGAGGCTCAACTAGGACAAGACGCACGTCCTAGATTCCACTGCTGGTAACTAAGATGAATATTTCACTGTCAGATGACGATTCAAGAAAACGCTTGTAACTGTCGAAGCCAGTTTTATTCAAGTTTGTAGAAATAACCTTTTCTTACTAAAATAAATGATAGCTTCCTTCGATATGTATTGCAGATTCACAAACTTCTACTCTTCAGCTGTCATAATTATTATTTCCTTTCATATTTTAGCTCCTTCTAACTGACATCCTTTAGCTTAAAACCGTTTTATCGCTGTTACTTGCTCCAAATTTCTGTAATGTTGTTACCTATTTATGCATAAGAATAACCAACTTAGAGAGGAAGTACAGCATATTCAAATCAAGACGTTACACAAAGCCACCTAACTACTGATTTTCAGTTCCAGTTTTATGAAGAAGTTATCAGGCTGTCATGGTATCACTATTTTAGAAACCTTGAGGTCAGGTGTAGACTTTTGGGCAACAGAGAAAAGTCAGCTGATAAGGCTGGCAATCCTAATTGACCAAGATGTCTGGGAAGTATGTGACACATTCATGTACACGCATTACTACAGTTGCATTTATCTTTTGTATGGATAATATTTAATTTACTGATGGTTATGTTTGATTACTACATTTTTGCACAGAGGTCTTTTGTAGTTTTTCAGAATACTTCCATTAAACCCCAAATTACCGACTATTCATTTATCTGCAAGCTTTATACACCCTATGCACCGAAAATTCATCATTATTAAACTGAATTTATCGAATGATGCAATGCATGCTTTTGAATGAACCGGCCACTGATGATCGTGAGTAAACTATATCCAGTGTTTCCGGGTAAAATGTGTTTCATGAACAACTTAGCTTCAAGACACTGGAACCCACAGTTTGTTATATGAAACATAAGTAGTTTTACAGCATAAGATTTTGAATGAAATATTGCTCTTCAGTATTGCTTGCTACTCAGTAACTAAGTGCAATACTTTATCACAAATGTGAACAATGTTTACACCGTTAGACATTGCTCTGTTTGTTTATCCAAATGCTTGCTGGTTGTTCTCACTTTGAAGCAAAATGCTTCATCTTTTACATTCTCAATAACACAGAAAATCATTTTGTTTTTTTTCTGTTGCATTAGGCATCAGTAATACAAGTCCAGATACTTATAGCCTTTCAGAACCGGGCCTCGTCACTTCAATACCTCAATATCCCTTGGATACCAGTGACAATTACCAGCAAAGAAAGACCTATGTCTCCTCACAAACTGTACCAAACCATACACTGGATTATGTTTCTGTACCCAAAAGTGATAATAATCATAAATCACGACATAAAATATTTTCAGATCCTTATACAATACGTAATCAATATCTAATTACTACCAGAGAAATTTTGGACGAAAATGTCTGTAAGCCCAGCACTTCAACCAACTATTCTTACATAAAAAGGAAGAGAAGTTATGATAAAAAACTTCATAAGATCTGGCAAACGTATGAAAATCGCTTAAATGACTTCAATGAAATTACTTCATCTTCATCCTTGTCATCATCAGCTTCATTGGGATCTTCGTCTACATCACCTACACCTTCATCGTCATCGTCATCCTCGACGTCAACCGATTCATCAAGAAATGAATTATTTTTTGTCAGTTTAAATAAAACCTGTAGAAGTGAATTACCTGATAATGACAATGATAATTGTCAACGAGATGTAGTTAGTAAAGGAATAATACATCATACACAATCTTCTACTGCTACTTTTCAGTCAGTTGGTAAAAGAGAATATAAAGTCAGACGGAAATTAAAGAAAAACAATAAAAACTCTTCTGTTGTTGATGAAAGCAAGTGAGTTACAAATAATGTGCCTTAATATTGCTCAGCTTGTTTATGATTGTCTTTTTAGTGAATATGCTTCTACCTGGTTGAAGTAAAACTACAATTGATATACTTTCTAAACATTGTAGAGCTTAAATTTTGATTGAAATGAATATATAAACGTTTTACTCACCACTGTTTACTGAGGAATTAAGTACCCTAATTGCCAATTTTAAGGATGTGAAACTCAGTATACATACTTACTAATGTGAAAGTCAAACTTCAGTGTAAGGATATAAGAAGTTATTAGAGATAATGAGTTCTTGGAGATAGATTATAAGTAGTGGATAATGTGCTGGAAATATGAGTTAATGGTACCTCTAAGAACTTGAAAAACGACTAAATTGTGAGCAACATCAACTTGGACAGTGCAAAGTGGTCATTATCTTTGTTATTATTAATATTTGTCCCTTCAGCTTTTAGTGGAATACAGGCCTTCAGTAGCACGTCTACATTCCACTCTCTTCTCTACTAAATTTTCAACCTGGCCCCACCAACACCAACAGGCTCTCATTTCTTCCTCACAACATCAATCTCCCCCATGTCACAATCGACTCAAATGGCCAACTCGTCGTTTCTCATTTGGGTTCCACTCGAGGGGCTGGGCTAGCGCGTGATGCCCACAGTCACCATTCTCAGTGTACGCCCAATCCACATCCACTTCCTACTCCTGCATATTTCTTGACCAAGAGGTTCTTAGTTGGTTAGTTGACAGACACAGTGAGTTCCTTCTTGATTATTCCTATTATTCTGACCATCTGAGCTTTAGTGAGGAGACAGCCTACACTGTTGTTGATGAATGTCTGCAATTTGTTGGAAATGGATTTCATAACGCGACAAGTCTATCAAACATCACATAGAAGCACTGACTTGACTGAATTGGTGTTGAGAATCCACATCTTGTTGTTTATGAAGAGTGCGGAGATCTGCACACTGATTTCAGACTAATGGAAGCCTGTCTTGTTGTATTTCTGATGCTGACTGCTTTGACGTCGTCATCTGTGCTGCCACCTGTAGTTGAAATGATGCTGCACTGCCTAGATAGGTGAAAGAGACTACTTCGTCTGAGTTTCTCCCATTGATGGTGATTGGTGTTTGCTGTTGCCTTTGTTGGTGTTCATTGGATATCTTCATCACCTCTGTCTTCTTTATGTTCACTTGAAGTGCCGTGTTCGCTGCTTCACCTTGCCTCTTCTGTCAACTTATTGGTTTTCTCCTGTAGATGTTCAAGTTTGTGTGACATTGGATATAAGTCATTGGTGGCTAAATCCAAATCTTCTAGGTTGTTCTCCTTGATCCGGTCTGTGTATGCCTCTCTTCTCGGTCGTCACTGTTTGTTACATGATTGAGTCCAGATGACCACAATCATGAATATCATGGGTGGTAGTAGACAGCCTTTCATATATGTGTATTGTACTATTAACCACACTTATACGACAACTTTTCATAATACACTCTGGCTACCTTATCCTCAGTGGATGAAATGTTGTTTTAATGCGCAATAGAATTCTGTGGTTTCAAATCCTTTGGAAAATAATTCGCTTCTAGTCAACCAGCTTTTGTCGTCACTTGTGATAGTAAGCTTAGCAAGTTTAAAAGTATAGCTCTCAGTTAGAAAAATATTTTTATGCATTTTATTTCTGAAGAAGACCTAGCTAAGGTTTATTACTTATAGAGATAATGATCAGTTCATAGCAGAAGAAAATGTTCTACCTTAATACTATTTCCCCATAGTACATAATGAAGCATATATATTTGTTGGAAAATTTATCTAGGATTGTACATACTGAACCTATTTATAAGGTGTATGACTCTTAAATACTACCACAGTATAGTGCTGAAAATATCTACAATTTCTGTCTACTGTTTGTTTGAATTATAAGTAGTAAAAGTGTTGAAGCCAAAAAAAATGTGATGCATGTAGAGATTTAAGTTTCGGGTTAATTTTATGTTATGGAAACTGGTGATACACTGATGTGTACAATCATACTAGAGGTATTCCGTGGGCTCAAATGATTGGTGCAATAAGTTGGAAGTAATTTACAACAGTCACTAAAACTTATTGACCGATTTGGCCCATTCTAAACACCAGGCTTAAGTCTGTTCTATACAAACTTTACTTTCCAAGTAAACCATTATATCAATACTCAATGAGAATCTTACGAAAACGTGTATCAATTTCAGTATAATCTGAATGCAGTAATCTATTGATTTCCAGTTTATGGTTCTGAGATTATGATTTCTATCTCAACTGATAGTTGTATAACATGTTCAATCTCAATGTCATGTGTACCTAATTGCTGTAAACCAAGTTGTTTTATTTTCTAGAACCATTAACTTGGAATATTAAGTCATATTTTGTTATTAATGAATACTTAATGTACAGTGCAAATTAAACGTATTCTTTGTATTTCCCACCATTGTATTGATAAAGACATATATGTAAACTATGATTCTTACAGGAAGTAATAAGGGAAAATTAAATGATGAGAATGATATAATACTTATTATGATTACATTTTATGATTCCATACTTATTGATGATTATTTCTTAAGGATAATTAATTAATTATTCATTTTGTGTTACAGAAAGATGGTGGAAAACTATTCACATCTGTCTACATTCATTTATAGTCTCTTCAGTCTATCTACATTGTCTGCATTGTTGAAATAATCTTTTCTTCCTCTAGCATTCATCTTTGACTAATATACTGTTGATAGTGATTTAAGGATGTGTAGTAAAGTAAATAGTGAAGTTGTTTTGCAAAACAAATTAAGCCAAAAGCCAAGATGAGACAGACTAATCTAGAGATGAACTATTCAAAATATGGAACTAGATGATGAATGAAGACAAAAATAAGTAGATGAAAAACTTTTCAGTGCAATCCTCGACTGCAGTAAAAGAAGAATTTCCATAAACATAACCAAACCATAAAACCTGATCATTTAATTTTTTTTTAATTACTAGAGTATTCATAAAAAGCATTAATTATGGAACGATACAACCACAAAGCTTCAAACAGTTATCCTTACCTAAATTCAATCGACACCTGTTGAAGATAGACAAAACAAAGGCATTGATGTTCTTGAAATCCATCAAGTTAATGAGTACATAAACAGTAGGCAAAGACGTAAACATCATTGTTGTGAGCAAAACAGGTTATTTTATAAAGAAATAGGGACTGAAAAAAATATTTATCAAGTACTGAATGCAAATTACAACCAAATGATTAGACAATCAGTTCCATTGGGGATAAACTATTTAATGAAAGTTGATCAAATCAGGAAAGAGGAAAAGTTGTGAATAAATAAGGCTGTCTCAAAAAGACTCTATGGTTAATGATTGATATTCTACTGTGACTAATAATTTTACCGTCTCAAACATCATTTAATTGCAGTTAAGTATTAACGATTATTTCAAATGACTTTTTTTAAGCATAATATTTATCCTTCTGACAACCAAGTATATTACTATAATTAACATTCAGGCAATATTGATATGTCTGCATAGGAGCCTATATGCCAATAGAGATCGAACAATTCGATCCAATAAAACAACGGAGAATTACTTCTATATCCACAAATAGTAATAACTAATAACAGTTATACAAGAGGTGGTTACCATGTCTTCGTGGTCTAGTGGATAACAATTTGACGTTTGAAGCAATGGGCACGAGGTTCGAGTCTCAGTGGCAACTACATTGCTTGCTGGAGTGCTCGTATGTACATCTGACGAGTCCTAAATAGGACGAAACGCTCGTCTTGGATTTCTCAGCTGGCCACAACTAAGTATATTACCGAAACTGAAAACTGTTGTATTAAAATAGTCTCCCTCATCAGTTAAGATTTTAGGAGTGAAAAACTAGAAAATTAATGAATGATTAGGCTTAGGAGACGTATACTTGATTTGAGAAATGCTTTCTCTTCAGCACTATTATCAAGCTTCTTAGTGATACCCAACTATACTTTACTACATCATGCTTTTTAATGCCATATCAAGTGGGACAGGATCACATAAAACTGAAGTTACTAGAAATCTCGAGCGGAACTTAGAATAAGTTACTTTTTTTATAATAAAAGCTAGAACAATAAGTTTAGCAGACCACGATGAATTCAATGCATTTATTCTCTGAGATCAGATTTTTTTGAACACATTCCAAATAAGTTAAGCCGAAAGGGGTTTGAGTGCGTTGAAAGTTCTACATCTGATGGACATAGGACACGTCATCCAGATCCTGAAAGTGCTAAGCTACTAAGATTCATAGAAGTAACTGCTATCAAAAGAATTAAATAGAATTTATATAACCAAAAAGAAGTAGTTGTTAGCCACCAACTTCTATGGTAGCCATTGATTTGCTTTGTCATTCAGTATAACCGTTTTCAAAAGTCTATGTTTTCATCCACTTTGAAGACCAGATTCATAATCACTTATTATTTCATGTACACCAGTTTACTATTTAAACAAAGTCTCAAATATCGCCGTACTCTGTTTTCTTTATTATTTTTTTTCTACTTTTGTAGAACTAGTGATGTTATTGTTCTCATTTCAATTCCCCGTTGTATTATATCTATACTTTAATTTAATCAAGTTGACCTTTTTAAATGAATAACATTTGACAATGTTTGCTCTATTCACTATTTCATTGGGAAATAAGGAAAACAAGAACTTACTAGGCTTAAGAATCGGAATTTTAGCATCTTCAAGATGCTGTATGTATTTCTAAAGTAATTTTTCATAGTCACTTAGTGAATTAAAACGAATGATACTTGTTTCGACCACTGTTCATATGCCAAATAAGGTAGGAGGGACTGTTTTAGTAATTCCAGCATATTTAATATTAATATTAGAGTGAGATTTAAGAGGCAGCATAATAGTACTTTTAATGAACAGTTTAATGGGTACCTAATGGATTTAATTATAGCTTGTGCATAATTTCCTTGAATTTCTTTACAATTTACTGACTTGCTTA